TATCATGCACAATGTACAAATTATTTATGCAAGGGTTTCATACCATACCAAATCCTAATTGGGTCAAACCTACTTTCTCCTTATCAGACTTTTAAAATCACCAATTTGGACACTTTCTTCTTCTTCTTCTTCTGTATCCAATCACTGCCTTCTCCACTCTTACCAATTTCAAATTTCAAATTTGAAATTTGAAATTTGAAAATTTGAAATTTGAAATTTGAAATGATTCTTGAAGGCTTCAATGGGTTATGTTGATTCAATGGGTTCTGTTGATTTTCCACTCTTACCACTATTATATTGTTGGTTCAATGGGTTTTGTTGATTTTCCTGGCTGTTTTGTTTTCTACACTGCATTTCCTGGGTGTTGAGTTTTCATTTGATGGGTTCTGTTGATGTAAACAGGTTATACCAATCCATTCTTTGATAATAGTTTGTTTTGTCTAAAGCTAAAAAATCAACAACTATAGGGACTGCAGGCCCAAAATCGGCAGCTAAAAGGACTGTTTTAGGGGTTGTTTAAGCTATTCTAGGGGGCTATTAACAGATGTTTTCTAAGGAAATTTGGGCTTGTTTTGAGGGTAGTTTACACCTGTTGTGGGAGAGGATGAATCCTAGATTAGAATAGAAATACATTTCGGGTAAGTATTTAGTAAACGGCTTCTAGGTAAGTATTTAGTAAACGGCCTCTAGGCTTTCTTTCTCCTTAAATGAAATTGGATTATCTGGATGTATTCTTTGAGCATCACAAAAAGCTTTAGCATATGGTTATTTTTTTGTATAATTCTTTAAATTGTATACATGTTTGAGGCACTCTAAACGCTAATTCACAGGATTAAATGTCTATTTATTAGGTAGCTTTTTGAGATTTATAACAGAAGTTCATTATAAGATCTCTTCAAGTTGTCATAAAGATTGGCTTTCACAAATATTCTGAATTAGTTACTGACACCATCCTACTAAATTTGTGAACGTTTGACCCTTGGACTCTTGATATGGTTTTAAATAAACATGGATATGATATATGCATACGGTGTCTGTTGTCCAATTTGTGGGTTTACTTGACCATGCTTCAATTTTAGACAAAAGTGACTGACTTTTTGGTTATTGTACTTGACTTTTCGTAAAACTAACCATTTGGTACTATATGTTTCTATTAAAATCATTGCGCCGTTTTTTRTAGGAAATATTTACAGATGAGTGCATCACGAAAACTAAACAACARTTTGGATATACGGATGAACWTTATTTACAAAWGATTGTATTTCTTTGTTYAGTAAAAAATTTCAAGTTTTGTAATGAGCTCTGAGTATATGGTTTTAGAAACCCAATACGTATGCAATTATTTTTTCATTCGATCTTGCTAATACATCATATTAACCTTCAATTTTATATATTAGTTGACTTGCAAAATAACTACACAAACTAATTACTCAAGATCGAACTAATGTTTCAAAATTGTGATTCACCCGCGCTGCATCGCGCGGGTACACCACTAGTTATATATATATATATATATTAAAAAATCTTAAATCAAAACTCGTAACCCGAATATTACAACATTCCCTCCTTAAAAGAATTCCGTCTCGGAATTCCATTTAAGCAAAAAGGTAGGGATACTTTATTTGCATTTCAGACTCTGATTCCCAAGTGGCGTCCGGTCCCTTGTAATAACGCCACTGAACTTTTACTAACCCAACCTCTTTGTTTCGTAGTTTCTTCACCTTGTAGTCAGTAATCTGTTCAGGGGTTTCTTCAAGACATAACTTTTCATCCACCTTAATTTCAGGTAGTGGTACTGCCATACCGGGGCTTATTAGACACTTCCTTAAATTCGACACATGAAACGTGTCATGGATTCTGCTTAACTCTAAAGGAAGTTCTAACTTGTAGGCCACTTCCCCAACCCATCCAATAATAGGGAATGGTCCAACATACCTTACACTTAATTTCCCCCTTTTTTCAAAACGTACCATTCCTTTCCAAGGTGATACTTTTAACATCACTCTATCACCCACTTGAAACTCAATCGGCTTCGACGTTTATTTGCATAACTTCTTTGTCTATTTTGTGCCACTTTCATTCGTTTTCGTATTACTCCAATTTTATCTACAGTTTGCTGAACTAACTCAGGTCCAGCCAACTGTTTTTCACCTAATTCATTCCAACACAAAGGAGTTCGACATTTTCGTCCATACAGAACCTCGAAAGGTGCTGCCTGAATACTTGAATGGTAGCTATTGTTGTACATAAATTCCACCAGAGCCAAATGACTATCCTATGATCCTCCGAAATCTATTACACACGCTCTAAGCATATCTTCTAACATTTGGATAGTTCGTTCACTTTGTCCATCAGTCTAAGGGTGATAAGTTGTACTTAACTTAAGCTGCAAACCCATTTCTTTTTGGAAACTCTTCCAAAACATAGAAGTGAACCGAATATCTCTATCAGAAACGATTGATAGAGGAACACCATGTCGTGTCACTACCTCATCAATGTATAACTTTGTCAATCTATCCATTGGATATGATTCTTTCATAGGTAAGAAGTGTGCAGATTTGGATAATCGATCTATTATCACCCATATAGCATCATAACCTTTTGATGTTCTCGACAATTTGGTTATGAAATCCATAGTGATGTGATCCCACTTCCAAACTGGAATTTCTAACGATTGCAACTTACCATAAGGGAGTTGGTGTTCAATATTTACCTGAAGACATGTTAGGCATTGCTCAACATGCTTAGCTATATCCTTCTTCATACTTGGCCACCAATAGTGTTGCTTCAAATCTCGATACATTTTATTTGTACCTGGATGAATTGCAAAACGTGACTTATGAGCCTCACCCAAAATACGTTTTCTGAGATCATCATAGCATGGTACCCAAATTTTGTTCTGAAAATTCCAAAATTCTATGTCATCTTTTACTAGATCAGATATTAATCCACCTAATCTTTCTTGTTTAACTTTATCCTCCTTCATTGCCTCACGCTGAAATTCTCGCAATTCTTCCTGAATACTGGGTAACAACTCATCTCGTAAAGCTACAGCTTTGATAGTTCCACTTTTCTCTTGTCGACTTAACGCATCGGCCACTACGTTTGCTTTTCCTGGGTGATACAAATTTCACAATCATAATCACTAACCAGTTCCAACCATTGTCTCTGACGCATATTCAATTCTTTCTGATGGAACAGATGTTGTAAGCTCTTATGATCTGTGAAAATTTGACATTTCGTTCGATATAAGTAGTGCCTCCATATCTTTATAACGAATACTACTGCCGCCAATTCCATATCATGAGTAGGATATTGCCTTTCATGATCTTTCAATTGTCTGGAAGCATAGGCTATTACCTTTCCACGTTGCATTAGTACACAACCCAAACCTATTTTTGACGCATCATTATATACCACAAAATCTTCCATTTCATCTGGCAAAGATAAAATTGGTGCACTACATAACTTATCTTTTAACATCTGAAAGGCCTGAGCTTGCGCTTCACCCGCTCATATTTCACATTCTTCTTGGTGAGCTTCGTTAATGAAGTAGCAATACGAGAGAAATCTTGGTTAAACTTAGGATAATACCCAGTCAATCCAAGAAAACTTCTGATTTCAGTTGGAGTCTTTGGGGCTTCCCATTTTTCAATGGCTTCAATCTTCAAATGATCCACTTTAATGCCTTCTTTTAAGATAACATGTCCCAAAAACTGGACTTCTCGCAGCCAAAATTCACACTTTGACATACTGGCATACAATCTCTCTTGTTTTAGCAATTCTAAGAGTAATCTCAAATGATGAGCATGCTCTTCTTCCGATCGAGAATATATCAGAATATCATCAATGAAGACAATCACAAATTTATCAAGATATGGATGACACACCCTATTCATCATGTCCATAAAGGCTGCAGGCGCATTTGTGAGTCCAAATGGCATAACCAGAAATTCATAATGACCATAACGTGTACGAAATGCTATTTCTGACACATCTTCATTCCGAATCTTCAACTGGTGATAACCAGACCGTAAATCAATTTTTGAAAAATAAGTAGCCCCAACC